AAAGTACGCGTACGTGGTGCTCGTTGACTTGTGAACTCTTTTCCAATTTGTTCTAAACTAATGCAACATATATATACATATAAGATGATATTATGTTGATCAAGATAATTTTAATTGAACAATCTAAAATATTATTTTTTTGTTACAGGTAAGTTACATTTGAAGTTTCTCTTGGTAAGTATGTTTACTATTTGGGTACTCGTACGCCGGGCGGTATTTATCCGCGTTCCTATCGGAGCCGTATGAAGTAAACATCAATTAACTGATTCCATATTGATAATCGGTGCTATTAGTTAGTTCTGTATTGTTTAATATGAGCGCACCTTGTGCAACAAGTTTCAAAATTTTTCCGCTATTCTGCTGTTACCTTTTGGTGTTTTTCGGAGCGTGGCGTATAATAGGCAACCTTAGATTGCGCTCGAGTCCTTCGCTCTGAGTCGTGCGAGGAAAAGCTGCATATTTTAATAACGCGTTTTGTAATTTGGTCAGTTACACTAACCGTTTAACTATCAGATTATCGTTTAAAGCAATTATTCTCAAGGTGAAATGTTATTTACTGTAAGTAGTTATGCCTATGTGCTGCGACAAAGGGTCGGTTATGATGAGTGACGTTTGACTCGGTGATTAGTGCCTTGTCGTAGACTTCGATGCGCGAGCGCAACTAATTGCTGGGAGCGCGCCTATTGTTTAACACAACAAACGTGCGACAACCGTGTTGCTACACACCAAAAACAAATTGTGCATACACATTGTTCTCTACTCTCTAGTTTTCACAGAATATGTTATAAAAGTAGACAATGTTCTCGATTAGAATTGAGCGTTCGTTTTTTTTGATAACGTCCACATGAGTTTGAGCCGGATATGTTTTTTTGTTGACGTTCGCCGGAGCCGGTGACGTAACCGTGTTTATATTATCATCAGATGTAAATCATCTTAATGTCCAAGATAAATGGAAATGTGTTTTTAAGTAATTGCAGTAGTGTAAAGCCTTTATTTTCATGACGTATTTTGATCGGTGTTTGGCCGCCGTAATTTTGAATTTTATCAGAAATTTGGATAAATTGGAGCAAGGCTACATTAATGATAACATGTTAGATTTAGTAGTAAATTGGGAATTAATATTCCTGACCTAGTGCCACAGTTGTGTTTGTCTAAGTCAGTAAATCTTGACAAAGTTAAGGTTGCTTTGTGTATAAACATCGGTATATCTTATTCTTGTTTAAGTTCAACTGCCTAACGTATTGGTCAGTAAACATTATTTCAATTTTATTATTATAAAAAAGTATTCATTTGTACACGCAGAAAAACAGATTGTTAACGACCTTAGTCTAATTGTTACAATTACATATGTACGTCTATTACTACGTGTCGTTTTATAATTTGTCTCATGCATGGCAGTTTTAATATAGGTAATTTAAATACATTTACATCTAATCCATCAGTCAAAATGACAATTACCATTCAACTGTGTTAATTTTATTATGAACTATAACGCTAATAGTTATATCGTGATTATGTTTTATTGTTTAATGGCAAGTTATCAAAAGTATGTCGATCATATCAATTAAGTGACAGTAAATGATTGTCATTGAGATAAAGAATTTTGGTCGCGTGCTTTTATGTTAACATGATATGTGGTTGTTTTGCATGTCGAATGAATAAGCCTTGTATAAATTTGTACATGTCAATAATTTGGACAACTGTACCACTAAATATTAATGAAACTACAAGTTGCTTATTGAACTAATGCAATTTTCCTGCTTGTTAGAATTTACAAAAATCTTTGGATTTAACTGTCACTTACCACGAAGCTTATAAGTGAATTGACGCGAATAGTATTTTTATTATAATAAAAAGGCTAATATGCTAACGATATTATTTATTAACTCACCGCGGAGTAGAACGGATGTCCCAAATTGAAGTAAAGAGAGCAAGCGAGGTAAAGGTAAGGATTGTACGATGACTTAACAATTAACACAAAAATATTTGAGCGTGTCTGAGAGGCATAAGGATACTGTGGAGTGAAACTGTTGAGAACTGAAATGATGACGATATCTGAGCAAGGAATTAATCCAGTAATTATTATTTTAAAAAAGCCATTAATTATACCACGTACAGTTTATTTAACTTTCTTATGCAGATTTGATGCGATATTTAAGCAGTTGAACAATTTCTATATAACTTTCTTATAGAGCACGTACTTTTGTATACAAAACAGTTCACCAAGGTTGACCAGTTTCGTATTGGTATTTGTGTGGCTGCAAACTTGTTATGCGAGATTGTAATCTAACGTTATTGTTGATAAAATTTTTAATGCATTTAACTTTACTCACGGAAACTGAAATGTAGAATTGTCGGTTTTGTATGTCCGCATTTTAATTGAATTTATATGTTTTTCCCACGTTGCAAACAGTAACAATGGTAAGTGTAAATTATTTCAGTACCAAATGATACCCTCTAATGAGTATGTTGAGATGGATGCTAACGAAATTGGATAAGTTACTAACGAAGTAAGCCTGAAAATAATATTCGATAAGGTGAGATTAGAGGTTAAGTTGGTAGCGACATGTAATGATAACATTGAAAGACAATTATAAGTTACGCAACAAAGACAATTAGATACTAAAATAATTAATATGACTTGTATAAACATTAATTTTTAGCAACTAGCTAGAAAGTAGTTTACTAACATAATATGGATCATGAGTATCCTAATTTTTTTTTTTAATAATTATTTTACTAATATAATGTTGTCAATAATTCGTTCAATTGTTCAAAAAATTTTTATCGCTAGATTCTTTGCTAAGTTATTTAGTTTACCTACTTTTTATTATCATATACGGTAGCGTGCGCTGAATTGGATTAAAATATAGGGCTTTTAGTTTCGACATCGCAAGAAGTTAAGCTGTTAATAATTAACTGTTTGGGACCATTAATACCTCATCAGCTACGGTGTACACATCATTGCATGTCTATGTATTTATTTACCGAGTTATGTCACACTGCATGGCAAGAACGCGTTGGTGCTACTTTCAAAGACACTTGTAACTGTACGCCACTTTCATTGGCTTCAATTTTATACCTATCCGTCGGAAGGCATCAATTTGTGCTTTACAGGCGAGTATTATATTTAAATGATATAAGGAAGTAAGCCATTCGATATACAGTATTAACTTTAATTTGTACACGTAATACAATAGTGATATTAACGCGTATATTTCAAATGTTTGGACCTACACTTTAAATTAAAATTTTAAGAGTGGATTACCAAAATTTGCAATTATTTTTCTAAAGCGTATTGTTTTAACTATGCCAAAATGATTGGTTCATTCACTTGTTCTTTCTATTATATATATTTGATATACATTTTTTAATAAAAAATATTTTTTTAATTAGTTGTGACCTTGTTCTGTGATCAAATCTGGTCAATGTTTGTCAGCCTTATGTTTATTGAGACAAACAAATTATTCTACTCTAATATGGTAGTTCTAATTTTAGAGGGTTCTATTGTTTTATTACAATGTTCCTATAACCACCTTCCGTTGAATTATAATTAGCTTTATGGTATCATTGTTACAAAAGTTACATAGGTTATCGAATTTTAATGCAATTTCAGCAGTTGGTTTACGAATTTTTAATGTACGGGCAAGATATACAAACGGAGCAAATTTAATAAACAATAGCTTGTAATAATCATATAAAGAAATAGAGACGTCGCGATATTATATTATAATGGTCGCGATTTACAATATTAAACTGAGAAATTCAATACTGACCTTTTGGGAAGGTGATTTATTTTTATAACAAGAATCGACGCGAATCGTATGTTATAATAGAAACGACATTATTGCAGTTTTATTCAACTTCCTTTGAAATTAGCTATGGAACGTGATATAATATCGCATTATTACCTGGTTTTTGTTAATTATAATCACGTAGCATTGACGCGTTACTCATAAACAATTCACTCACGTATTCAAGATCTCGGTTTTTTTAGTTCTGTTATCTTTAAAATAACTATTGTTTTTATCGGATTTTCCAAAACAAATGTGAGTACAGGTGTCGTATGAAGAATAGCTATTGTTTGTGAGTAATACAACCAAATATGCATCTCTCAATCGCGGTTTCATAAGCATCTACACTAATGTTGCACAGAAGGAATTAATTGCGAACTCGGTTCTCATATTTGTATGCAGTAGTTATGATTGCGAGTACTATACGATTATTGCTGTGGTTTTGGCTTGCAAACTTTAATTGTATTATTACGTTTGTTTTAGAGGAATCAGATGTGCACGTATGTTTGTACTGAATGTATTCATGAAATTTGTTTTATATCGTTATTTTTCCATATGAACTTATTAATAACAGCTGAACTAATCGTCATTTCTAATAGTGATTTTTATGTGTTTATCGCAATTGCATTCGGCAGGTTGCCATGTTTATAAATGCCCGAGTACGCATTATGAGTAAAGCAACTATAATTATGTCTTACCAATCCATTCATAAAGTCCTACGCTTTCCAGGAAAATGATTTGTTTTAACCGATTTTATTGAGTAGGCCGTAATATTTATTATTTAAATAAACAAAGATTGTATTTGCACAAATCGATACCATTCGCTTTACATTTGGTTTTTATATGCGAACTTGCGATATAAGTAAATAATATTGCTCCAAACACGAATACGATTACAAGCACATTTTTGTATGGTTAAGCAATAATTATTTTGAGTGTACGTTGTAAGTACATTGCAATTTACTGAAACTTTTGTTTGTATATTCACACAGATGTTTCGCGTCGCGTCATTGAGGTTTTCTGTCGAAGGCTGTGAAACCGACTTTAATATTGTGTCGTGATAGTCGTATTGTTTCTGGAGTCACATGCTTGCTGCGCCGGCGTCTACCCCGTGAGATCTGGGTCGGGGACCCGTCTAGGACTGATTGTCGTCGCATACGCATAACTGACATGTTAAATATTAGCTATTTCGTGAACGAATCTTACATTTTCTGATAAGCGGAAGCTGCGGCTGAAAACTTTTAATCACTGCTCGTCACCTTATCTTCAGCACATCACACGGGGAATGTCACTTCACTATAGTTTTTTTTTCACTGCTGTCCAATCACTGGCACATGTTGGGGACGCGTGCGGTCTGTGTCATGTGTGGTTGGGTAGTGGTGTCCCGGGGTCACCGCGACGGTCACTGGTGACACGTGTGGTCGGTAGGTCGCGCGGCGCATGAGTGCTCGCGGTGGTAGGGGGCGCCGGTGTAAATACTCCAGTGTAGCGCGTGCGCACCGCCCACGCACACAGGTCGCGTGTTCGCACACTACTCTGGAGCGGCTCATAGAGATGCGCCGTGACGTGCGCAGGAGTCGATGAGCCCTATCGTATGACGGATATCGAGATGGAACCGATGGGTGATCCCGACACGGATGTCGCGGTAATTGTGTTGTAATGAATATATTTGTTTTCATTGCTCACAATACACTAGTATCGTATGTCTATTATTTAAACTATTGTATTATTTTATTACTATGATTCTGAGTGCTGGTATTCATAATAATTGCTGTTTGGTTTTATACATAAGAAACTAGTGTTCTTATGGATGATAACGAAATTGCGCTCCCGCCTGCGCTAACGGTATACGATTGCAGGGCACCAGGGTAGTTGGCTCGTTGTGGTGAATTCATTATGAATTAACAACAATGGTTTCCTGATTGATCTTATATGGTTCATTATTAGCAATAGGACAACTATTCCCCATTACTAACAATACTGCCCCTCTTAGATCTAGTTATTATAATGGCCCGCTAAGTTAGTTTTGATTAATTGTGCCAAGACGAATCGGTTCGTATATTTGCAAAAAATATATGATTTATAGTATAGTAAAGTTTACGTGGAACACCTCTGTTATCTATTACAGCCGCCAAGCACCTTGCTTAAAGGGGTTTTGTTGAGGGATGAGATAAGGTATATTACAGGCATGACATCGTAATCCTCTGGAATGGCAACGCATGAGTGGTATCACGTGCTTTACATGATAACTTCATGTCCGTGGTGATGTTCATGTTTAGATGACGGTTACCATTTACCACTAGGTGGACCCTCAGGATGTTTGATATTACAGGTACATAAAATAATAATAATAATGTGACTCAATATATTTTGGTTTGAGTCACTTATCGCAAACGACACACCTTTGGAAGTAAGAAAAATATAAATATAAATTTCTTAAGTCAGCACCTGCAATGAATCATCTCAGAATAAATCTAATTAAACGGAATTTAAATCATAAGAAATATTAATAAAAGTCCCTGTTTTGTGCATGCGTACCAGTCATAGGGATTTACGTCTAGCTTATAGTTGCATTTTGCATTCATTGTATGCGGTTAACCCAAGATTCTATCAGTTTATTAAATGATAAAGATGCTCAAATAAAGGTATATGCACAAATGTGATTGTTGCTTTGTTGGGATTTGATATCAGTGATTTTATTAATTCCAAAACGTTTTATTAGTTATTTATTTATTATCATGGTAGCCTGTTAATACAGCGAGGGCAGAGATTCAGTTTTATTTGCTCGAACTATTTTCAGAACTGACGGTAGATTTGACTTATCGTAAGTGTTTGTAATATACCTATATGCATTATTTTGATTAGCTTTGGTTCGATATAACTCTAACTAATTTTTAGTACATTTTGCATATGGTTCATTATTTCCTTACGTTTCTTGTACACGTCTGTAGTTTATTATGATTATTTAGATCATTTTTGATATGAAGTAGCAATTACTAGAATAGTCGTTTGAATCGGCTCTGTGAATAGTAATTGTAAATTAATATGGTATATAGCACGAACAAAATAATATTACGTCATCTAAAATAGTAAACAGTTATAAAAAATATGATGATTATAATAAGCCGTAGAATTGTCCCATATTGTATTAGTAAACAAATTATAAAACTCGGTTTATATCCGCCATTAAATATTGTAAGTAAATTTCCATTCCATATTTGTTTTTTATCTGCGAGGACTTTCAATCCCGTCTAAATCGGTCCAGTCGTTTCAGATATTAGCAAGAGCAAACACAGACAATTTTTTTTTAAATATATTTTTTTTGTAAGTTTCGTATATACTTTAGTGTGCGATTAGTTAAAAGCTCTTAATTTGAAATTACAAAAAGACACTATATTTATTTATATATATTGATAGAATTTTGTATAAATATTAGTTATATTCATAATACCAATCTAGTCCAGAAAGTTGTTGCGCAATATATGAGCTACGCGAGACGAGTCATCGACATCGAAGCGTCCTCGGAAGGTCGCCTCGGTACGCCATATTGGTCCCCTTGAGACACTAGTGGACTATTATTTTGTTAATGTAATACGTTCCAAGATTAATCATTTAAAAAAGCCTAACTCTCAAAATAATTGCATTAACACCCGAATTAACTTAAAAAACATTTTGTTTACAAAATCATTAGCCAAATCCGTTAAACGTGCAAGTGTATATGAATGAACAATATCGGTAATCGACAATTTCATACCTGATTATAATTAAAAAATAAGTTACGAGTAATATCTATGTATATCCTATATACATAGACATTATACAGTATTATTCAGGATTATCAATGGATAGCCATTTTATCAGTCATGTGTATTATTGTTAAAAGCTACGCCTATTTTTATAACTATACTGTTTTTATTAAGTTAGTCTGCTTTTATGGAGGCATAAAGTTTGTCTATATTCTCGTAATATAACCTACCGTCACGACAAATTTCATTATGATCCGTTTAATTTAGATCACAAAATTTGAACGAATTTTGTTTTAATTTTACGGATAGTTTCATGATGGGTAATACACTATATTACCCTTCATGAAACTATAATAATATATAGTCTTTGAGAATGTACCATATATTCTCAGAGACTATATATTATTATTATGATTTTATTGATTTGGATTATGGCTATGAAACAGACTGTATAACTAAGTTTGCTCGTCCATTTTGAATAATTAAAAAATCGGGAACAGCACAACATTAATATTACCTATAGTGTTTACGTTTATTATGTAATGTTTACTTATTATATAAATAAATTGGGGCATTTAAAAATATATACTAAATATGAATCAGTTGACCCGGAAATTTTGTTTGATAGGATGGTCTGACATCTGACAAATATCATTGTCTAGTCTAGTACACATTTAAATCAAGGACAGTTCACGAATGCCGTGATATTTCACTTTACAACGATTTCCGTTGCTCAGTTAGGCTTAACGTTTCGTTATGCCTGACTAAATTTTATATTTCATTATTACAATTTACAACTTTACGTTTCGTTTCCTATATTTAGATATATTTCGTACAAGCGACCCGCTTTCCACGAGTGCAAAATAGAAAACAAGAAAAGTCCTATTGTCTATAGGACAGTCAGTAGAGTCGTGAATATTCCAAAAATCGGCTGTCCCGTTTGATACATTTTATTTGGTTCCTAAAGACAGGACGTATGGCAACTCTATAGGTTACTTACGCAATCCTATTAAAATAAAATACTGTTTGTTTCAATTGCTTGTAGCTATGTTCATTCCAATAGGAGATAGAATTTATAAAATCCGTAATTTTCTTATTCATCACGAAAATCAAGTCTAACCTGTGCGTAATATTAGTTTTGATTATAGAGTATCAGATGAGTATGAATTAAGTTAGCTAATTCATACTCATCCGATTCATTATAATTATTTTCAGGAAAAATAAATACCGAATTTTTACTATTCTATACTATTTTATTATAAAAGTTCTGAGTATTTTATTCTATTTTTATATGTTATTTTTAACTCATGACATTATTATGCATATCAAAGATTATTGAACTCGAATAAACCTGTATACCACAGATGTAACTATGAACAATAATGCTAATGTCGCGTAAGAAAATGTCAGGGTAGGGCGACGATCCGCCCCTTGGCTCCAATAGTATTTTAAATGACTACAAATAGTAATGCAACTATCTAAATTTAAAAGAGCAAAACAAGTAAGTTCTGGAACAGTTGTTCCCAAACTATAGAAACGCGTTCTACTAGTCATAAGGGACATTGTGAGACAAGATGAGTGTCACCAGGAATTAGTTATTATGTTTTCAAGGGACCACGTAGAATTTAATTACCTGACATGGTACATTGCTAGCAATGGAAGCATTCTATATGGTCAAAGATTAGTTAGTAATAGTAATAATATCCCTGGACAATTCACATAGCGCCATTTAGCCCCAGGCTAAGCAAGAGCTTGTGTTATAGGTACTAGACTACTAATATAAATAAATGTGTATATATTTTTTGTAAATATATACATAAAAAAGACCCAAATACGATACAAATAATCGTACACATGAATATAAATGTTTGCACTGTGTGTTGAATGGTTCCCGCGACCATCGGTAGTAAGGCCATGTACTAAAATGCCGTCAACATCGTAATGTTGTTGAGGTTTCTAAGTATCCTCTTCCCCCTGATTTTTGTTTAGGGAGTTATGGTGTCGTTAACTTTGGGAAACGCTACTATAATACTCTTGCTTTGAACTTTTTGCTATTTTCGATCAGTCCAATCCAATGCATTAGTTCAAGACCAACTCAATAGACCAACTCTCTATTATTGGGTGTTAAAATATGTGTAATTTGTATATAAAAGGTGAAATATTTCAAATTACAGTGTACGGAGTCATGTCACGTTAGTTCTTCGGAATTATTATTCCTTTTTAATAGATATAATGATATCGTTACCACCGACGTCTCGTCATTTAGGTTGTTGCATCTATACAGGCGACTGTTGTCATGTACCTTTATTACTTGCCATTCCAGTTATAAAAAAAATACTAGTTTTACTTTCGTAAGTTTCATGTAAACTGCAATGTAGCTTGTAGCCGGCGGCTATATATATACAACAGTCTGTAACAACGAACAATTCACTTAAATTATGTAATCAAATATTCATCACGCCTTTTAGATCATTACTTCTTTATCGTATAATTTTATCATCCGCATGCGGTCTCTCGCGGTGCTGCTATCGATATTTATAATCGATTTCATGTTTATTCGATACCACAGTTTTTTTTTCTTTTAGCCTAATGTACGGCGATTTCCGTTTGTTATTGTTTTGTTTTTATTAATATTAATGTAACAATATTACAATTGCGATGTTACGATTTAAGTAGGTTAGATTTCGTTACGAAATGTTAA